CAACCCAGAATGTCTCCTTCCTGCCGATGCACAGATTCAAGTTATTACATTTTTTTAAGGCAGGGGTCCCTTTCCTGCTTTTCCAGGGGACCATATTGAAGCAATAAAAAAAAAAAAGGACCACCTTTCATGATGGATCTCCCAAAATGCTCTATTGTTCCCAGTTCATTCTTTTGACGAGTGTTGGCTGAGCCTCTGCATGAGACCAGGCACTGGGGATTCGGGGGCAATAAAAACAAGCAAAGTTCCTGCCCTTGTGGAGCCAGCATCCCCGTGGTCCAGGAGGTGCTTCATTCTGACAAAAGGCTGGCTTCCCAAAGCTGCCATTCCCTATCTTTATCCCTGGTTGCCTTTTGTGTGTGTGTATGGGAATCCAAAAATGTAGACACAGATGAAAGAAACTAAAGGGAACTAGGGAGTTCGGTCCTAAAGCCAAATGTAAGGAGCAGGACTGTGCAGCGAGGCCATGGAAGGAGGTGATCCTCAGACCCAGATAACTTCCAACTTGCAGTTTAAGGTCAGGAATTTAAAAAACAAGATTCCCAGAAAGTACATGTACTCTGAAGTTTATTCCTTTAACACATCACATCTCCCTCTTTTCCTCTTCTTGTCTCACTCCTCTGTCTCTTTCTTTCTCACTCGCTCTCTCAGTCTCTCTCTCTTACACACATACATACACACACACACACACACGCCCTACACAGTTTCCACCTCACAAAAAAAATACCCAAATATATACACACACACAAATATACAAACCATACCAAACTACACAAAGACACACATACGCATGACAGGAAACCCAGGCATCACATATTTTCAAGGACATGCTGACACTCACAAACATACCGATTACCTTCTCTTACCTATAACAGAATGACCATAATTACAAGCAAAAGTACACACATGTCAAAACACTTTCTAACACAGGCTGTGATTCTCAGTCCAGCTGCCCCTGTAGCTGCTCTCCGCATTGCTTCTATAAGGTTCTGAAGATTAAACAGTTGGTAGCCAACTTCATATACATGCCTGTAAACAAGAGGGCTCAGCTTTAAATAATTATGTCAGAGAAATGACAACTGTGCCCTTTGCCAGAACAGGGATGAATAATTACAAAGCCAGGACATAATTAAGCAATTCTGACTGTTGGATTCTTGAGCTGTCTGATGTGTAGGGCTGGCACGTCCGCCATGCACACCCTTCTGGACAGGCCTCACACCCCTTTGATTTATGTTTCCTGATGTGGCAAGGGGGATCATGATCTGGTCACGGGAGTCTCTTTGACTTTCCTTGGGAGTCTCAACCTTCTCTGCATCTACGTTGGTCCTCTCGGCATTGAGAATGCCATGATTATGTGGCCAATATTTGCAAAAGACACATATTTTCTTTAAAATTCCAGGAAATGAGCACAGCCTAGCTGCTGTAGGTCCCTATACTAACAACACACACGCATGTGCATGCACATGCGCACGCACACAGACACACACCAGTCTAGAAGAGTCCATTGTAACATTAGCTATCATTTCGCTAATGAATGATGGCATCCTTCTGTAGGACAATCAGAGCTCAGACAGAAAGCAGCTTTTAAACAACAAGAGACAAAAGGCAGCAACAAAGGGGAAGTGTGTCATTGTGAGAGAAGGCGAGAGAGGACTTGCACTCAGGCGCCAGGGCCTGCCAGGTACCAAACCAAACCTCTGTGACATAGGGCTTTATTAGTTCCTGGATGACTTTGCATTTGCGTCAGCCGAGAACACCCAGACTGCCTGTTCCCTACCTCTAAAGGTGAGGGCTATGATTGGAGAGGCATTTTCCATTCTCCCAAATACTTGATGTCAGGAATAAAATGAAAACAGCTTCCCAAATCACGGCCTCCTTGATCATCCATCAGAGCATTCTGCTGAATAAGCACAACAGGCCGCTGCTGCCTGAGAAAGGACAGAAGCCAACTTGAGATTCCGATTCTCTTATGAAAAATAGGTCTTCACCAAGTGTGCTCAGCACAGCATCGGCAAATCACGGGGAGGAAATTGCTCTCCACTTAGAAGCCAACTCTGGGTGTACACATACCTCCCAGAACATACATATGTATATACACACAGAGATAGGAAGTGTATATACACACCTGCACAGGAACAAACATATGTCTGTGCACACTGTGAGCAGGCGAGAACCAGCCTTTTTAACATCAATTTATTAATTCAGCAAGAAGCTCATTTGGCCTCTTTCTACATGCAAGAAAAGTATGTTTCTCTGAAAACAAGCAAAAGGGAATTGCCAGGCATTCAAGAGAGGCATACAGTTTGAACCAGGAACACAGGTAAGTTCTCTAGTGCGCTTGAAGCCTCATGGTGTGTGCATGCAGCACTTACCTAGAAGGCCGGTCCCCTTGGTTCTGATCCAGTGCTGCTTGTGTTGGACTGTGGGAGGCTTAGGAAACTGCAGCCTCACCCAGTTCCTTCATCCATAAAATGAGAACACACACCAGGTGATTTCTGAAGTCCCTCCAGTTTGGAAATCATGCGACTCTATAAAAAGGTAATAACTGAAGATTCCCATGTTTTGTCAGAGTATTTTTGTCTCTTCTCAAGTAATTAATGGGTATTTTTATGCTGAATACCATTAGTGGAGATGTTGGAGTCAATCACACAAACATAAGCTAATTCTATAATTGATTAGAAACTAATTGGGGGCTTTGAAAAGCATTTCTGCGGGGCACCTGGGTGGCTTAGTCGGTTAAGCGGCCGACTTTCGCTTAGGTCATGATCTCGCAGTTCGTGGGTTCTAGCCCCTCGTCGGGCTCTGTGCTGACTGCCAGCTCAGAGCCTGGAGCCTGCTTCAGTCTGTGACTCCCTCTCTCTCTGACCCTCCCCTGCTCACGCTGTCTCTCTCTCTCTCCTAGAAATAAATAAAACATTAAAAAAAAAATTTAAAAAAAAAAAAAAAAAAGAAAAAAGAAAAGCATTTCTGCTGATGCTGCTAATGACTCAAAGAACCAGCTACTACTGGATTTTAAGGAGCCATTCCCAATTGCTTCAAAAGCAGGGGAGGATTTCAGTCCCCGCTGCCCTCTCTATTCCAAGAGAACAGTTCAGCTTTCACCTGTTTTCTCCCTTTAGGCCTTCTTATGATGTTTTCACTTTGAATGGAGAAACGCATGGGGAAAATGTCTGGCTCACTGCTCCAGGGGTAAGATCCGAGTAGAAGAATGTGGCTTGGTGGTCAGACACACCAGTAAAACTACAGTTTCCATGCTTACTGATCGGGTTGCCCAACTGACACCTCTCGTCCTTTGCTACCTCACCTGTAGAATAAGCCAGCGCTCCATTCCTTCTACGTCCAAGGGTTCTGGGAGGACTCACAGATCTCTGTATAGTGATGAACACACATTGAGCATCTCACACAAATATGGCAGCTATTATATATATTTAGTACCCCCTTCAGATTTTCTGTGATAATACAGAGCTTCCTCTGCCAAAAGCAGGGAGAGCAGGAGAAATACTGATCTATCCTAAAAAGTGCATGTATAGGAGAAGGTGGAAAATGTAGAATGGGAGGGAACCCAAGATATTATAATCAGTTCATTTGTTGTTCTTTGGTGACGTTGGCTGCCTCTGGAATCTTTTAACCAAAAAAAAAAAAAAAAAAAGGAGACCAAGAAATAAATTATTTCATTTGGACAAAATTACAAAAGCTGGAATAACTAAAGGCAGTCATGAGCAATACATCAAATCTGTGCCTCGATAAGGAAAACTGTTAACACTTTAATAGCTACGAAATGAATCACTCAATTAATTTCCCACATGCTGACACAGGTAACAATACATTTATCTGCCAGTATTATACCCTCCCTATCATATATTTCCACAACTGTTAGCAATTTTATTCAGTGCAACAGGAAATAAGTTGCACCTCATGGGTTCAGGGAAAGAAAGTGGCCTGAGGTCTGCTGCTGGCTGAGCAACTTGATGGAAGAGGTTTCGTTTTTCTGTTTTGGTTCTGTTTGTTTTTTCCTCTTTCCCTCTTAATCATTTCCAATGCACGTGCAAAGCGCTCTAAGTCAATAAGTGAGGACAAACTAGACCTCCAGGATTTCTGAGCCAGTGTTTTCAACACACAAGCTAGGGTCCCAAAGGAAGTGACTAGGTAGCTCCATCGGGCCCCAGGGCACTGGGGATGGACCTCCAAAGAGGTCATCAAGGGTCATCAGGTCCATTCCCCAGCCTTGGACTTCATAGAAGGACCCTAACTCCTCCCAAAGAGATAATTTTCCACATCCTTAAAGACTTCCTTGAATCTGAATCCAAGACTCCAAGCCACATCTCCCTTACCTCATCAATGCTGTCATTAAGATGACACCATATTCACTTCCATGGCCTCAAAGCAGACTCAGGTGATAAAGGAAAGGTCAGTTAAACTAATCTCATGAACTCTGGAGAGCTACATGTAGGAGGCATACACGAGTCCAGGTCACACTGTCAGGAAAAATGGCCTTTCCCTCTAACAGTATCTCTGAGAGCTGTTGAGCCCTCATACCTGAGAACAGGAGAAAATCACCCTCCCCTACTTCCACTATGGCCCCAAGAAAAAAGAGTTCTCTCTGGGTCACTAGAGCAATCCTACCCACCTGAGGAAGAGTAAATTCCCCAAGCTTTCCTCTTGGGGAAACAGACCTGCAGAGGCCCCACCTTATAAATGAAACATCTTCAAGAAGAACTCACATATACCCCCTAGAACATCACCACCTAGCTGCATATATTACTGCTTTGTTGGTAAAAGAGCCACCTGGGTTAAGTCACCCTACAAATAAGGTCCCTTTAGATCACAGGAAAACCTATTTACTCCCAGTCCTACTTCCTATTTAGCCAACAGTGTATGCATGGATAAACCCTAGTAGGAGATCTCTCCTGAAATCTAAACACAGAAGAACATCCTCTGCACTCAAAGAATAACCAGTGAGGCATAAATCCCTTGTGAAGACTAGAAAGTAGGCAGCTTACCTTGGGCTTCACCACCTTCATGAATGACCCTCTGACCAAAGCTTCCTCTCGTTCTTGCCTGGTTACTTTCCGGGCATCCAGAAACTTCAAATTGGGCAGCTTGTGCAGAACGAAGTACCTGAAAGAAAAGAGTCAGAGTTAATTCAGGAGGGGAGATGATGGTCTCAAATATCCATGTAATTTGCCTCATGCTCAGGAATGTACATCATTAAATCTTCAGAAGTTTAGATCTTGGCTGCTGCTTCTCTTTTCTTTCACAAAGAATGAATAATCACCCTTTGCAGAAATCCAAATAATTATATTTTATACAGATACACAACTAAACCTTAAAAATTCACACTAATATTTGCTCTTGATTCAAAGGTAGACACACACACACACACACACACACACACACACACACACACACACACACACACCTGGATTAGCCAAGAAGACACTATCAATGTGTTTCCCTTCTTCCATTCTGGAATTGGGCCCAGCTTCTCTGCTACACACAAAGTTCTCAGTGAAACTAACCTCACAACCTAATTGTACCATTTATGTCACTGCCATTCCTGTGGGCCATCTGTGTAACTCTCATTGCTGAGCTAAAAACAAATCTTCAATTTGAAATGGAGGCAAGAGACACGGACGGGTCATCTAGGACAATAAACTAGAATGCAGGTTGTAATAACATGGTTGACTTTAGGATAGAAGTAAGGAGCTCATATAGCTGAGAAATGCTTCCTTGAAAAATCAAACAAGGGTCTTGAGGATTTTTTTCACCATCCCTGAGTTACTTCCACACTAGTACTATGAAGATGATCTTTATCAAGGTGAAACAAGAACTGGTTTATAGGGGATATTTATTTAATAGTCCAATAAATACTAATACAAATTCCCAAGGAAAGAGTCTTTGGCATCCATCATAGCCTCCAAGGATAAGCTAATGGCTGTTTGTGTGATGAACTCTCCTCAGGCAGGTATATCTGGAATTGAGGAGAAGATCCATGTGGCCATGGGATAGGTATATAAACATATAAATAAATATATAAAAAGTAAAGACATCTGCCTACACTTCTCCTTCCTCAAGGGGAGTTACCAACCCAGATGTTTTCCATCGAGCCTCCATTCCCGATTACTCAAAGGAGCTGTTGTGGTGGTGCCTGAGTGGCTCAGTAGGTTAAGCATCTGACTATTAATTTCAGCTCAGGTCATGATCTCACAGTCATGAGATGGAGCCCAGAGTCAGGCTCCATGCCCAATATGGATTCTCTTTTTCCCCTCTGGCTCTGCCTCTTCTCTGCTCTCACTTAACTCTCTCTCTCTCAAACAAACAAACAAGCTATTGTTTAGACCTTGTCCTGCTTAGAAAGAAGAGGTAAGTACCCAATTTCAAAAGCAATAGATTATCTCCATAGGAATCTGTCATTTCCTTCCCTATACCCAGCCTCCTCAGTATTCACTCATCTTTAAAATCCTGACCCAGATGAACTTTTTTTTCTTTTTTGCATCTCCAGCCTGCATTGTTTTCTCTCTTCTCAGCACTCCCAGGATACATTGTTAGCACCATGCCATCTAACATTTTGTTGTTTTTACATCATTTTATTAGTGTTTACCTGATGTCCTCACCTATAAGCTTCTTAAAGGCAAGGACGTTTTTTGTTTTTTGTTTTTTTTTTTTGCTTATCTTCATATTATCTTAAAAAGTAGCATTAGAATGCATTCAGTAAAATGCCAGTTTATTTCAGTTGGACAAATATTTCTTGAGCATATGCCATGTGTCAGACCCCAGGTATACAGAGGTGATTGCAACATGATTCCTGCCCTTACAGGGTTTTTAATGTAATGTGGAAGAAAGACTCACATACAGAAGAGAAATCAACATAGCTAAGTGCCGAGATCATGGTTAGTGCAAAGTAGCTCTGGGAGCACAGAGAAAGGGACCTAACATCACTTACTGAATGACTGAAAACAAATGTCTTGAGGAAGAAGAGGAGAAACAAGAAATCTCAAGGGATCTTCAAAGAACCAAACCCTAAAGGAACCCTACACATTAGCTTTTTCTCAGTGCAAATTTATACCTCAGTGAGGTATATAGCATGTCCCCCTCCCCGTAGGTCCCACATTCATAACACAGTCTCATATCACCAAGCGGCCCCCAAAATATATTTGCCCAGGTATAAGATTTGGCTAGTTACTGAAATGCTAGAGAAAATAGCTTAGAGTCTTCCTACTAAAATACTCCTTAAAAGTAAAAATACTCTGAGTCCTTTTGAGGTATACTTTTCTTCCCCAGAAATGTCCACCCCAAACATCTAAGGTCCAGGAAGTTTGACTATCTACTTCCTGATTCCTCCCTGGTCTCAATCTAGTATCTTTTGCCATCTTCTCCCTTAGCCTCACCCTTCCCTCTCCAAAGGCCCCTTAACCTATGCAAAATCAGAAAGTTTCCACAGAGTCCCAAATGGCCTTTCTATCCTCCAGTAGAACTCCCGCTGGCCTCAGTCAGTGTCAGAGAAAACTTCCATCTTCTGCTTGTAGCGGCGAAGCTTTGATGACAACAGATTCTTTCAAATAAAGACATGTACAGACGGAAACAATATGTCAGAAGTGACGCTCAGAGGAGTAAAGACACCCACTAAGTGTAGGGTGGGAAAAGATGAATATTCAGGTGAAGAAAACATCAGTATTAGAAAATCAGCCAATGTTTAATGATGGAATGAAAGATGTCTTCACAGGGCTGGCAGGAACCATGATGACAACAGACAGCACGTTGTCATTTTGCCCCACTTTGGATCACAGCCCTGAAATCAAAGGAGAGAGAGAGAGAGAGAGAGTGAGGTGCTGGCTTTTAAGATAGTTAAAAATTTTAGATGACAAAGAGCTGCTGTTTTCAGAGCACTCTTCTTATACAACCGAAGAAACAGCCCATGAAATAGGCTGCCAGTCATCTCTGAAACTAGGGGTGACCTGACTCCCATCCTGTCGGCCAGCTGGGGGATTCTAGGTGGGTGATGCTTAGAGAGGTTTGAGGGACACTAGCAAGGTTCACCCCAAATAATGTGGCCTGAGATTCAGCCCCGGGTCCAAAGTTCCTCCCTTAGAGATGTCTTCAAACATTCACTCACACAACAAATAATTATTGAGCTGGTACCACCCATGCCATTCTGCATGAATAAAGGTGATGCAGAAAACAGACAAGGTCCCTGCTCTCAGAGAGCTTCTATTCTAGCACAGTCATTCACACACTTAACAGGGCATCAGCATCCCCTGGATGGCTTGTGGAAACACAAATCACAGGATCCCACCCCCAGAATTTCTAATTCCCTACGTCTGGAGTAGGGCTCAGAATGTACATTTCTAATAAGTTCCTGGGGGGTGTGGTGCTGATGCTGCTGGTCCTGATGTGAACTACCGTCCAAGTGAAAAAAAACACCATGAGGAATAAGAGTTTCAGAATTATGACGTTGGTAATGTGGTGAAGAATCTCCCTCCCAATTCTGCTAATGATCTTCCTTGCCCCCAACGTCTGTGGTATACAGTGCCCAGAGGCGGCCACACCTACCGGAGATCTTCCTGCTCTTTGGTGGTTTGCAACTGGCTCCAAACATTACTGCCAAGTGATAAGTCAGTGGGCTTTCTGCCTGCCTGTCCCATCCCAGTCGTGGGAGATCTATTTCCCTTTGTTCTAGGTCATGTCAGGGTGTCAAAAGCTGCAGCTTCAATCCCGAGTATAATACAAGTTTGCCATAAAAATACAACAGAGGATTCCCGAAGCCACAGAATGAAGGCTTTTACAATATCAATTCAACCCTTGTAAATTTAATCCAGGGTTATTTGTTGCACCAAAATCTCTTTACCGTGATGTATTACTTAGTTACTGGGGTTATCACAGCCGTATCCTAAAGTTGCATAGTACATAAAACATTTCAGTTAACAATGCGGGAAGGTTAACTCCCCCAGATAACCTGCAATCACAAGGGCTAGTCCAGATGACATGCCTCTGTCAGCTTCCACGAGCTATTGATGGTTCAATCAGTTTGTTTTGAAGGTAAAGTACAACAAAAGGGCAGTAAACTTATTCAGACTGTCAACAGGGGCTATCGGGAATGGGGCTTGCAGGTAAGTAATTCTGGGTGTTTTAAGGCTATTATCAAACAGCAATGGTTGAAGGAAGAGACAGCTACTAATAACACAGAAGGCAGCCATCATAAACCACTTTATGGCAGAAACCCCCGTCTATAAATCCTGCGACACCCGGAGACAGCTTCAGATTTACAAAACTGCTTGTTAAGCCAGGGCACTGCTTAATGAAAAGAGATCGGTCTAAGTTCTGAGTTTCACATCCCTAGCTCCAGAGGACAACTCCAATTTTCCTGACCTTCCCAAGGTGGCTAGGCGAAAGCCCTGGGGCGGGGGACTGGAAGTGGGGGGCACTCTGGACTGGGGTATGGAAGGTGAGGTTATCGAGAAGAGATAAGGGATCCTGGGAAGGTGTGTAAAGACCCATTTGTCTCTGTCTAAAAGCAGATTCTCTAAAAGTGAGATGCACACGGAGAGCCTTGCAGGCTCTCTCTCTCTTTTCATATTAAGTGCTTCATTTTCTTAAAGGACTCCTCAAAGGAGACACCTGAAACTGGCATGGGGAGAAAAGGAAGAGCAAAAAGGCTTTGGTGTTTGTTTGTTTGTTTGTTTGTTTGCTCCCAAATCAATTTTCTCCTCCCAAATCCCAAAGCTCCGGCATTTTTCATGTAGACTTCAAAGGGAAAGAAGAGTGCTCTGTCCTTCTGCTCAAACTGCTCTCCCAGGGGCAGCTAGCTGTCCCAGTAACAGCATGATTGCAGAAACACCAAGACGGATCTCCAGTGTCTGCTCCTGGGACGGTTTCTTTCTCTGAAGAGACTCTACTAGAGAAATACCAAGTTTCCAAATCCTAAGGAAATCCGAATGCAAGGTCACCTGGAGTTTTTCCCTATTTCTTCCCATTTATGGTAAATAGAATGACCATTATTTTTTGCAGCCTTACTGCTCCCGTCCATGGGGGTGCCGTGAGGGATACACAGTACAAGCTACTAATGCCTCACCAGGGGCCCCTGAAGTCAGCAATGGGTGACCCAGGAATCATTCTCGGTC